GAACATTAGATGGCCCCTTATTTAACCATAAGGTTATCAGACGTTTTGTGACACCCAGACACACCAAGTGCATATAATCCAACGGAAACAAATCAACAATGTTAATGTTTGGAATCAATGCAAGACATGATATTGTGGGTGAAACATGATACTGCTCATTTTTCATCATAACATAATCTTCATGGTTTCTTTTTTCATTGCCATTTTCGTTGTAAGGAAAACAAACATGATTTATGCAATATTCACCTTCATGTAAACATTTAGTGCAAGAAAAGTAACCTGAATGTGTTTTTACTCTTAATATATAGGCCTTAGCAGGGGAATCGCAACAAATAATTTTAATTTCAATTTTTCTAAGCTGATTGTTCACCATTAATCCACTCCTATTTAATTCTAACACTTCAGCAATAAAATCAGAAAGATAGTTATTGCTATCGGATGGTTTTTTATGGCCATGAAATATTCCAACAGGAAAAACATATTTGTGATAGGGCATAATATAAGCCAAAATTGGCCAAAATTGACTAGAGCTACTTTTCGATATTGGTAGCCCGTCAATCCCAACTGCAATTTGAATAGACTCTTGCAAAGGTAAAATTGATGAAAACCTTAGTATTCCATTACGTAAGCCAAAATGATAATATGTACCATTTGGGTGTACTTCTCTTAAATTTAATACTTTTGTAGAGTTAGAATGAAGAAGTGTTCGACAATCTTTAGGTATAAATGAGAGTTCAGCTTTATATTTCAAAATTTCTAAAAGTTTATTAATTGTATTTTGAGGGACATTATAATTTACAGCCCAATGAGCCAATGATTGTAAAATATCTTCCTGACGGTTATATTTATTTTTATAAATATTAATAAACTCATCATTGCTGGATTTTAGTACATTTTCAATAACTATATTTGGAATTGAAATATTATTATGTTCTACTATTAGCTGATCAGACTGGCCCATAACTGAGTTAACAACGTTTAATGGACTTTTAACAGTACTTGAAATAAGAGTTTCATTAGGTAATGTTTCTTGTACGGGTAAAATGTCATAAGTACTGTTTAAATCATCTGGTAAATGACCTGTATACCAATCACCCAAAGCATCCAACTCCCTTTGCACTTTTCTTTTTTTTTTTCGAGTACAAAATACTTTTTTCATTTTAAACAAACTGAAAATATAATTTATCAAATTTAAATACATAAACAATACATTTAAAAAGAAAACAATTTTAAATTATTATTATTAGGTATTTTATAAAAAAAAAAATATGAGTAGGTAGGTCATAATATTTTACATTTAGAATGACATACCTAGTTATAATTTAACAATAATAATATAGCAATAACAATATAATTATTAACCAACATTGACAGATACATGGATACAAACATTTTTTTAATTAATTAAACCCCATATAAGCTATTACTTATTGTAATGTGTGGAAGTGAGTTCGGTTAGGAATTTAGGTAGGTATACAAAAAATATAGAATATTCTATACATATGTATTACATTTCTATAATACATGGTCTACAAAAAAATAGTACCTAACTATTAAATAAGAAGTTCAATTATTTAATTGATGGATTATTTACAATATAGTATTTTTATCAGTCTATTTAGTAGGTATTCTTTTTAATATAATGTTAAATTGACTAGTAGAAGTGCAATGCCAAAATTGAATATATATAGTTTGTGTATATATGTGAATACCTAGTGGCTAGGAGACGGTATGTTTGAGTTTAATATTACTTATTTATCTAACATTTTTCAAAATATAAAATAATTTTCTTATGTATATTACCTATATTGTTTCTAATGTATATTCCGTTTAAATTTGTTATCTTAATACAACCCAAGATCTTTAATATTGTTTACTTTTTCTAAAAAATAACAGTTAAAGACTTAAATATATTACAGCGAGTCACAAATCTACATACAGTTTATATTGATTATTAATATTGTTCTTATTTGGTATTTGATAACACATATTATTGGTTTTGTAAGGTTTAATTCAAATAAGTTATTATATATTTATATTATCCTAATTTTTTAATAAGGTAAACATAAAATTCTTAACTAATTAATTACAATGTATTTTAAGTTTTCTGGGATGAAGTAAAAATCCACATATAAAAATACCTATATAGAACGTAGTATTAAAATACTTGACAACGATGATCATCAGGGATACTTTAAGTATATTTTAATTTAATACTTTAATACATTGTTTAATACTACATCACTAATCAGCAGTAAAATATGGAGAACAGCCATATACTTTTTTGGTACCTATGTAGCATTTTACGGTGGGTTTGAATTTTAAGGTCCAGTAACAAAATTCACTTTCATTAAATAAAATAAATTAATAGTTCTATATTTAAGTCTTTAGGTCTATTTGTATTTTTATTCCTTTGAGCATGACACAAAGGTGGAAAAACACCATTTTAATAGCTAGATCACAAAAACGGTAGGTATATCATGATAAAATACAGGTACTTACATGTAGTTTTATTATTTTGCTCTCCAAAAGTTTTGACTTCAAGGCTGATATCGTGTATCGCTGTATCGTGTCGTCGCAAATGCGCAATATAAATATATAATAATTAATAATGTGCAAATTTGCTACACTACTACAATAGTACAATCGGCGTCAATCGCTTCTCGTCAAGCAGCTTAGCACTTAGCAGCTATAGAACGTGATTAAAAATTAAACCCGACGGCTATAGCAGCGCTGCGGCCTGCGGTGGCGTTAAAGACGATCGTGACACGCTGGATTTGCTCATAAATAACATTTCACGGAATTTTACCACAATAGGCGAACTATTTTTAGGCGATCACTATCTTGACTCGGCTGGAACGGCGGGGCGGGGCTATATATATGTACTATAAGTTCTATAATAATACGATTTATTCATTTACTACGTAAATTTGTACAGCAAACAAAAATACGAGCATGTTGAATGTTCCTATTAATCGCGTACTTATTAAACCTATATATAGTAAGCATTATTTATTTAGACTATAGAATATTATTCATATTCTATTATTCTATAATAACCAATGGTTTTAGTATGAACATTTAAAATGTTCAATTATATAATAATGTATGAATATTCATTGTGATGGATTATTATTCTGCAATGATTACTATAACTTTATGTATAGAAAATATAGAAAATATATGCAGATACCAAAAATAAAGTTATTTCTATACTTATTGACTCTACCAATCACAATTTATTATACCTACTGCTAAAATTTTAACACCTGACAGTTATTATATAAGAGGTATCCCACTTTTGTTATTTAAATCATATCTAAAAAAATGGAATACAAACAGTTAGAATAAAATAATAATAAACTCATTGAATCCTTTATAATTAGGTACATAATATATATTATGGTGTTAATCAAGGAAATTGTATTGCGGGCCTAATATTATTTAATATATTTTATGTTAATGGCTTTCTAAATATTCCAAATCAATCTGAATAACAGCTAGCTGCATTATGTTGTAGCCAGCTAGTGTATATGAAAATGCCAATACTTGCCTAGCTGGATATGGCTAAATCATGGTATATGGTAATAATTTCCTTAGTATAAATTTAAATAAATTTAATTATAAAATATAATATATTATACATTTTAAATTTAAAAAACAACTATATATTTTATGTTGATGATTCTGAAAAAGAATTAATATGTCGTACTCTTTCTTATTATTATAATTGTATAACCGCAAAACCCAATAAATTGTGACTATTCAACTATGTCAATAATATAGTTACTATATATTATTATATAGCTCATGATAAATATACTTGGGTCTATATATAATTAAAGGACTAATAAAGGACTTAAATGGCGGAACTACACATATACAAATTATCATTTATACCGAGGAAGCAACATTAAAAATTTTAAATATGAAAATGTATTGCAGATGTCAATTTGATGAGAACTATTTATTTCGCTAGTACTCAATATCAATCATCTGATCTTCTATGGAATTACGATATGGGGTGGCACATTATAGGAAAAACATTTGACTCTTCTGATTACCACTAATAATCTAATAATCTATTATTGAGATTAGTCCTTGACAAGCCAAGGTTATACACTACTAAACTTTTATTTTATGAATTTTAAGTACCCACAGTTTTTAATCTTTAATACAAAAATATTTTATTAGTATATATTATATGTATAAAATATAAACATATTATTAAAATTATGCATAATTATTGCATGCAAATCTGAATCCAGGTATTAATACATTTTATTTTAATTTCGAGACTACTGGTAGATTGCATAATATGACATCGTACCTTAGCTAGTATATTGTACATCTCTACCAACATTTTTAGGCATTTTGAAAATAACACTGTTTTAAAATATTTGGTGTACCATGTTTTCAAAATGTGTTCAATATATTT